TATATATATATAACATTAATTAACAAGGAACCAATCGTGAGCGTCGGAAATCATAATGATCAACGGCCAAGGAAATAGATGTATACTTGTACATTAGACACACACACACCGGATTATACCAAAAAATTCACCTCCTTACCAAATAACTCACCTCTTTTTTTCGTTTAAATATTTTTAGGCCACATTTTTTATCTAAAAAAACCGAATATACTGTTGTTCATGATTTTTCGTCCTTCTTCCATAGAGATTCATGTTGATATATAAAAAACGAAATTTTTTTCGAAAAAAACTCGCTTCATTTTGTTATTTTTTTCACTATTTAAGTTTATTTTTATCGAAAAACAAATTAATTATACCAAAAATATTAATTTTTGTAATCTATTAATAAACATCATCACCGAAATTTCGATTTTTTTTAACATCAATATGAATCTATGTTTAAAGAATATCAAAAAATATTAATTTTGATATATTTATTAATTTTTTTCTACAAAAAAATAGACATTAACTTTTCAACAAACAAAACAAATAAAGTGGGTTTTTTGAAAAAAAAAATTCATTTTTTATATATCAATATAGATCTCTATGGAAAAAATGACGAAAATTACGAACAACTGTATATTCATATTTTTTTCGATAAAAAACATGGCCTAAAAAATTTAACTAAAAAAAAAGAAGTGTGTTTTGTTATAATCTGGTGCATTTGCGTCAATTGTAAAAGCTTACAACCATTCATTTTGGTCGTTGATCGCTTTAAATTTCGACGTTTTGGATTGGTTCCTTGATTAATAATGATTCTCTATTGAACTTTTCCAATTTGTTGAAACCTTTCATATATTATCATTAAACCTATGGTACCCGATCGCAAAAGTAATATATGTAAAAGGTTCAACAAATAGGATCATATATGGTGTAAAAAAAGACTAAATATGAACAAAATCAAAAGTTTATTAACGTCCTAAGTCATTTTTCCTGTGAATGGTATAAAAAACATATATAAAAAGTTTAACTTCACAATATTTGGAATAATAAGGAATTTAATTTCACCAATTATTTTTGTTGGAATGTAATGGAGTTGGGTTTTGCATCCCGCACTATGCGGAAAAAATATGAGAGTGGTCAACTTAGTATGGTATATACATTGAGAAATGATTATGTTATTAGAATGTAAGAAGGCAACATATAGTAGAGTTATTACATCTAAGCAGAATATATATGCAATGTTAAACAAAGAGCCACGCAACGTGAGTTGTGACAAAAAAGGTGCAAAGCTCTGGCCGCTACAATCAACCTTCTTCTCTCTCACCATTTACGCCTCCTTGACCCACGCCCCGTCCATCGGTGCCTTTTCCGGTGAACAGCTCTTCCAGCTGTTGCTACCTCCGGCGAAGAGTTATTACCATCGATCTGGTTTCTTCGTTGAAGCCGAAGTAAAAGGTCACCCTAACTCTTTGGTTTCTTAGATGGGTTGCTTCAGATCTTGTTTCTAGTTTGATTTTGCTTTAGATCTAGTGGTGGTTTGATTTTTCATTTTTACCTTATCCCGATTTGCTTTTTCCGTTTTCCGTTTTGATTTCCTTCAAATTTGCTTCTGATATGGTAGTGATTTTTCAGTTTTCCCATTTCCCATTTTCCATGTTCCTGGTACAATGTTCCTGGGATTTACTTTTGATTTGTTTCATATGAACGGTGTGGTGGTGTATCAACGGTCATGTCAAAGAAGACGAAGGGGGTGATTTTTCACCGGTTCAATATTGGAAGAAGAGGTTGAGGAGGAGGGTGTCGGGTAGGAAGTAGACCACATATTTGGTTACCATTTTTTTTAAATATTAATAATTTAATTAATAAAAAAAAAAAAAAAAAAAAAAAAAAAAAAAAAAAAAAACACTTGCAAGTGTAAAATAGTCTTTTAGCTCAGGCAGGGACTAAACGCTCAATAAAGTTACACCTTAGGGACCGACCAAGTTTAAAAAAAAAAAAATAAGGACCAAGTGCGTAGATTACCCTAACCCACAGGGGACATTGTGTAATTTAATAATAATAATAATATATTAGTATAAATAATTAATATTAGAGTTATTTTTTGCAAATATTTAATCGCTTTAATCTACTCGAATCCAAATACACAAAGTAAAGATATTAATTTCATCGACAAAGTCAAGCTATTACAGTCCAAATCGTTTAAGGTTTGGACATTGTTTTGTTTTCTTGTCCGTCGTCTTTGGTTTCATCGACACCATATAGCAGCAGGTGTATCATGAATAATCATTATGAAGCATAAGTTAAATAGTTAATAGTAAAGTAACATTAGGATAAGTATGATTTAATTGAAAATTATTGTTTAGTTTATATATTGAGTATGAATATAGTTTTTGTACATATGTTTAATTTATTATCTCTGTGTTGTAGAATGTGATAAAGTTTCTATATGAAATTCAACGAAAACTATTTTCGTTTTAACTAATTGTAGAAGAATTTTGGTATTTAGTTTAGGGTATTATTAATTTAAAAAAAAAAAAAAAAAAAAAACTCACATGATGGGACATATGTATGTAAAGGTCAACACACACGCACTACACCCTCACACATATGTGTTCATTTAGAATACCCCATAATTTATTGATGAGCTCGATTGAGTGCAAAAATCGTACATCAGTCATAATCATCAAATGAAAGGCCTAGTTAACCCATATGATCAAAACTAGGGGTGACAAACATGTTGTCTCATGTTCTTAAACTCTTAAACAGGTTGAACTAGTTTGACCCTAATCTGATCCGTTTAATTATTGTGTCATGTCGTGCCAACATGTTTATATTCGTGTTGAGTTTGTGGGTTTAAGGTTTACACCTTGTAAATATGTTGTGTTGTATTATATTGAAAAACTATATATGTTGAAAGAATTGGACTTAGAGAGGCGGAAAAGAAACAGTTAAAAACAGGAATGATTAATAGTTTGGGAGGCAAAGAGGGGAAATTCACAATAAGTTTAGGGGGAGGGGGAAGTTAGATTGAAGGGTAAGTGGGCGAGTGATTAGACCTGACAATTTGATACACGACACGATTAACACGACACAAACATGATACGGGTTTGCCGTGTATGTGTTTTAGAAATTCGTGTTTCGTGTTTATTCGTGTCTAACACGTATTTTAAATTTGTGTTTCGTGTCTTACACGTGTCAAACACGAATTGGGTTAGGTTATTTTGTTTCTTACATTTATTGTGTGCTAGAATGCACCAATAGGAATTTAGTAAATTAAATAATTATTTAATTAAATAAATATAGATATTAAATGATTTCCATAATTATATGTATATTAAATGATATCCATAATTATAATTCTCTTTTTATGGAAACTAATTAAATCCGTCATTAATGTCAGCAATAACATTCTTTCAGAATGAATTCGCATCTAGGTTTTTGTATATGAGTTCGTATTTTGTTTCAGAACTTACTCACTTAAAATACAATAAAGTTGCATGAAATATGAAGAACGATACACTCTCATTCTGCTGAAATACACTCTCATTCTTCTAGATATTAATTCATTCTAAAAGAATATTATTGTTGACATTAATGACGAATTTAATTACTTTCCATAAAAATGAGTTATAAGTATGGATAGCATTTAATATACATATAATTAATACTAAATTTTTATTGGGTGCATTCTAACACACAATAGATGTGAGAACATTTGAACCTACCTATATATATATATATATTATATATAGATATATATATATATATATATATATATATATATATATAGAGAGAGAGAGAGAGAGAGAGAGAGGAGGGTTCAATTGAGAAAAAAAAGGTTGAGAATATGGGCATCATTCCTCAGCCACACATTTATTTTGCCGCACAAACACTTAGGCGTACCGTCGGAAATGAATAACGGATCACATGTGTTTTCCACTAAACATGTTTCCTTAAACTATACTAATCATTACCTTAATATACACAAAAACATATTTTTTTTTGTTCGTTTTTTTATTTTTAGAAAGCCATTATTATCGAAAAATTATTTTAAATATATCAAAATTCATAATTTTATTCTCTATAAATAGACATCCATAATTTGATATAGTTTAAGATAAAATAAAAAATTTATTTTTTTTTAGAGTTTCATCTCTCGTTATTCATAAGTGAATAAAAAATCTATCAGATTTTTATTACAGTATATTCTTATTCACTTATGAATAAAACGTATGCGTAACTTTTTTATAGTTTAAGTACCGTTCATATATAAATATGACACGCAATAAAGCTTTCGTTACTTAAATATATTTGTTCACATCAGCTTTCATCATATATTATATTTAATATAGGAATAAAACGTGTATTAGTTGTCGTCATATTTTATATTCATATATGAATAAAACATTTATCAAATTTTGTTCACAGTTAATTTGTTAGGCATATATGAATAGTCGTATATAAGGATACTTAAACTGTAAAAAAAATAATTATATATTTTTATTCATAAGTGAATAACGAATGGACTGTAGCAAAAATCCTGATGCATTTTTAATCACTTATGAATAACGATAGCTTGAAAATATAAAAAAAAAATTAATTTTATCTTAAAAATATAAAATTGGATGTCTATTTTGTAGAGAATAAAAATCATAAATTTGGTATATTTAAAATCATTTTTCGATATAAATAGCTTCTTAAAATTAAAAAAACAAAAAAAAAAACTATGTTTTTGTATATATTAAGGTATGATTAGCAGTTTAAGGAAACATGTTTTGTTGGAAACACATGTGTATTCCTTATCCATTTCTGCTGGTACAACAAAGGCTTTTGCGGCAAAAATAAATGAGTGGCTGAGAATGATTCTCCCATTCTCAACATTTTTTATTTTTTCAATTGAACTTACCTCTCTCTCTCTCTCTCTCTCTATATATATATTATATATATATATATATATATATATAATATATATATATATATATAGATATTAGGGTTAAATTTTTATATTTATAATATATTAGGGACCAATTTCATAAAAATCAATAATTAGTTTATAGTCCTAGCTTAAAAAAAGACATTAAAAACATGTCTATTCGTGTTTTTCGTGTAACACGGTTAAAAAACTGTCTATTTGTGTCACGTGTCACACGAATTTTGTACATGTCGTGTTCGTGTTTGATACCCCAAACACGTTTTATAATTCGTGTCGTGTTCGTGTTTAACAAATTCATGTCTGACACGAATACAAGACATGCAGACACGGATTGACAGGTCTACGAGTGATATTGTGAAGTATAAGAAATTAATGAAAAAGTGAAAAACTAAAATTAAGTATCGAATGAGTGGTTTTTCATTACAAAACGATTCAACCCAAAGTTTTTGTTTACATTTTATTTTTGTTTCTCTCAATTTACCTAAAAGACTAAAAAAGTTGCATATAAATAAACAGATCATTTTTGTGTTGAAAGTTTAGACCTTAACCTTACCCATTTAACTTTTGTGTTCTTATATTAACACGTTTGAGATGGCATACACAGTGTCATCTAGTACAGAACTTGGAAAATGTTTGTGCACCCAAATCATATGCCAATATCCTTAAAAAGTGATTCACGAAACGGAAGTGTTATCAAAAACATATTGTTTGCAAAAGCAAATGATAAAATCCAAAACATATTTAAGTATCCAATCTAAAGACTTTACATTTGATATAAGATCCAAATCACGAACTCAAAAACAAACTTCAAAATTGAAATTGAGAGATGCTGCAGCAGCTGGCAGGTGACACCCAAACAAGACTATCAACATACCGAACAACTTTATGTATCCATTTACATTCACCCTGAAACTTGAAGAATTTAGTTGCAATTGGATCATACAAAGCAAGATCACCTCTTAAATCTTGAAAAAGGAACTCATTGTGTGATATGATTCCACGCGGATTTAACTCACAAGGGGAAAAGACATGAAGTTTCACCCATGATTCAGCCACCCCATACTCATCCATCACCCACAACTCAAATTTAGTTGATCCACTTGCTTGAAAGCTTGACATTACACAAAGTTTTCCAGTAAAAACTCCTAAAAGATTTGAGATTTTATACACAGTGTAATCTAGTACAGAATCTGGAAGATGTATCTCACGAAATGTCTCTGCACCATTTTGACAAACTACATCTTGATCATAAATATTTGTGAGGTGTGATGGAATCTTTTGAGTGATAAACTCCCAGGTCCCCTTTCTCATGCTGTAAACCTCAACTTGCATCCACTCTGTAGTGTCCACTTTTGAACCAATGATGCCTAAAACTTTTACAACTTTGTAATCATCAGTTGTGGGATCAAACCCAAACCCGAAATAAGTACAGATCCAAGCATTACATTCAGAGGGCATTGAATAGGGTGGGAGAGTTAACAAGGCAGAGAGAGAAGGGTTCCATATGTAGATGACATCAGAATACTCATATGATCCGTATTCAAAGCATATTAAGCCGTTAGATTGGGGATTAAGTGGGAGTTTGATGACATCAGATCCAACGACACTGCCACTTCTGTTTTTAGATTGGGGATTAAGTGGGAGTTTGATGAAATTAGCGAGATCCAGATTGGGAGATCGAGAGAGGTGTACTGTAAATGGTTTAGAGTCAAAAGAAAATGGTTTTTTGAAGATCAAGAGAATTTCATTGTTGCTATCAACTGAATGATCCAGGTGATATTTTATGAAGGAGGAATGAGATAACAGAGCATTCCAGGATTTGGAGACAGTCCTCATTTGAGCAAGATGTTTCGCCCTAAACCCGATGAATATGTTTGATAAAACACAGTGTGGGAGTTTCTCCATGGTTTCTGGCTGTTGACGTGAACAATGGCGAAGACCCTAACAGAAATCACAACTAACAAATTTTACTACAAACTGTTACATTATTTAACAAAAACTCCATAATAATAGAGGTTTATAAGTAACGATTACGCTGCTAACAGGCACTACTAACTAGCCCTAATGATTTTGCTAGAAAATGAGTAAACAGGGCAATAGTGATACCTAAAGAGAAATCAAAAAGCGAGAACAGATGAGAAACGGAGAACCAGAACGGCAGGTATCTGTGCACAGGACGCCGACGGCGGTGGCGAAAGAAAGAGGATACAGAGAGCGACGGAGAAAGAGGGAGGATTGCGAGAGGGCGGGAGATAGAGAACGCCAGACTTTGGTCAAAAGGGTTTCTTTTCCAAACGGCTAAACACAAAAACAGGTATGTTTATCTATCTGGAAGTCTTTTTCTAAGTTCTTTTTTCAAATTTATCAGAAGATAAATTCCAAACTTTCTTCTGACAATTTTGCATCAAGATATGTAATTACTTTACATAATAGTTTTGTTTTCATATACTTAATAACTTTCGGTCACAGCTTCAAAAAATGAGTTATAAAACTATGTCCTATGTTGGACTTGGAACTCGAAAAAACATTTTTTAAACTCGTTTTTTCATGATTTTTATTATTGGATGGGTACAACCAATATTCGTTTTTATAACTTAAATTGATCTAGAACCGTCAATTCCAAAACCAGTACCGATATGATTGGTTTCGATTTCGTTTAAATTTAAAATGTTGTATTTATAGTCATAATCACAAGATCGATTCAACATAAACTTGATGAATCTTAAAGCAAATTAAGAACACTTATTTGAAGGGAAACATAATTCCGGTGGAGTTGAAGATGATAATGCCCTTTCAGTCTTATAAAACTTCTCGTAATGGTGCATTTCTTGATCAAATCCGATGGATGGATGCCACATACCAGATGATGGTGTTTGTAGAGAGAATTTAAGGGGCAGAAAGAAGAGTCGCTTTATCTATTAGTACACTTGCTCCATTTGTTGTGTGTTAAATGAATCAATGTAACACTCGGTTCTCACCTTACAGTATAAACGACTAATTACGAAATTCAAGGTATTGATACATTGTTTTTCAACCAATGCATTCTTAACGAGAGATGTAGTAGTCAAAATTACGAAAGTGTGCATATATAAAGAACGCTTAAATATGACGTTGTATGGCGAAGTTATGATTTTTCGAAATTTCAATGCGACATAGTACAACAGTGTGCGACATGAAAATCGAAATTAAAATCAGTTAATTGTTAGCCAAAACAATGTAAACTCGGGTTGAAGATCTCGTAAATATGAATCTGTCGATATAAAGATAGTCGAGAACGAAGTTCGTATGAAGGAGTTATGGTTTTCGCATAGATTTTAACAGTATAATCTCTATAAAATATGAATTTAAAAATGAGTAAGAATTACCTATTGAGATCTAAAGGAAAGTTGTAGTACTCGGAAATACCTACGCGTGGATATAAAAAAACATCGAAAACGGAGCTCGTATGTAAAAGTTATGATCTTTCGAAGGTTGCGAAAAATACTCGCGCATGTAATGATGTGGCACCACCAGAGGGCCCCACGTGGCAGCCCTGGAGACCAAGTCTCGTTGATGACATTGCACCACGATTTGGTGACATGTGGCCCCATAACTTTGCACATGGCAAGCGACAGACGGAGCTCTTCTAACTGACTCACGATGTGGATGAACGACGGTCTGACACGTGGCACCATCCGGATCTGAACACGTCAATGAGTTGCGGCGCGCCCTTTGAGAAGCGTGACACGCCCCCTTGAACTCAACCTATAAATAGATGCAAAATCTTATTCATTATCCACATAAATTCCTCCATATTTCTCTGGAAACTCTTCTCCGACCTCGAGCCTGATATTTCTGAGTTTGTGAACATTTTAGTGAGTCTTTGCAGCGATAGAAAGCCCGACAGAAAGAAGTGTTGGATTTCGAAGTTCTACTCGCGACTAGGGGTGTAAGGGAGACAAGCCAACTCGCGAGAAACTCGAGATCGACTCGGAAAATACTCGAAATCGACTAGACTTTAACCGAGTCGAGCTCGATCTCGAGCTACTCGAGTACTTTCTCGAACCGAGCTTGAGAACTAAAATACTTGGCTCGTAAATCTTGCGAGCTTAATCGAGCTTAGTGTAATTTACATATATGCCCTTTTCTTAATTGATTAATTGTTCATTAATAACTATAAAAAAAATTAAAAATAAATAAAAATATATAAAAAAATCCCCGTCGTGATATCTCTATTTGAATCTGTTGGTCCATCCCAATTCCCAAACCCAAAAAAAAACCATTCGTCCTTTATTCCTTATTTCCCTCTTATGCTTATCCTTTCGTTTCTTCGCAAATCGCCAGTCGGTCGCACCACCTTCACAGATAGGTTGCCGCTGTAATTTCCCTACTCGTCGTCGCCGCTCCACCATCCCTAATCGCCAGCCTCTACTTCATTGATGGTTGCTGAGTGAGAACGACGCATCACGCGTACAATTGAAGTTGTAAGTTCAGATTTCTTCCTTTTGTTACTGAGACCAATTTTTCCAAAAGCTTTCTAAGTTGTAGCAGTTGTTTATATACCGTGGCATATGAGGAAAAACTTGTATATGGTAATGCCATATGAGGAAAAACTGGAAGACCTCCAAGGGTTTAGGACCGGTGCCCAATTCCGTCAGAATGTAAATTGTGAAGTGATTTAATTTCTGTAAATCTTGTTTAATTTACACCTAAGATGCTTATTGATGTAATTAATGTTAGAGAGCAAATGGTTTGACATCAAAAACTAAAACTGGAATACATATTGTTGTTTTAGTTGTTTTGGATGGGATTTTAATGGATTGTACAACTGATATCATTGACTTTGATTTGATTTGCTTCCATAATACCAAATAGTTCCTTGTGTAGTTGCGTGTCTGTTTATGATTTTCATGTTTACAAAAAACCCTTAATGTGATTTGAAATGGTTATTTGGCAATGGTTAAAGTTTTAATGTATTTTTTGTGGTAACTTTTTGTTCCTTTGTTCTAACGTTTGTTTCTAATTTGCAGATGGAATCAAGCACACCTTCTAATGTTTCATCAACTCCAAACTCGCAACAAGAGAACGATGGTTTGGTAAATGACGGAAACACCCATTCTACTTACTGCTTTTTGATGTTTTTTTATTGATTTTGGTGTTGTTTTTAGGTTAAATAGTTGTTGTTTGTTGTTATTTCAACAAGTGGAAGAGACTAGGTTGTTTTGGTGCTGAGCTTGTCCATTTTTTATGTCTTAAAAGTTGTTTTGCATTGAAAAATGTTTCTTTTTTGTATTTTGAAAGTATGGAAAAACAACATAGATGCTTGAATAGTTGATGCTATTTTGCATTTAAAGAATGTTTATTTTTGGTATATTGGAAGTATGTAGTTGATGTTATATTGATATTAGGCAGTTGATTGTGGTTTTTTTGGTAGTTTGGAAATTTGCATGTGGAATGTTTTAATATTTTGCACCCTATAATATAATATCCTTAAGTCCCCAAGGGTTGGTCTCCTTACCAGCCTCCATTGCCACTAAAACCCTAATTCATCCCTTAAGCTTTCTTGGTGGTGTTTATCAGCCTTGAGTGAATTCTTATGCTTATCTTGCTCATTTTGAAGGAGGATTTGAAGATTGAAGGTGCTTAGCTTGGAAGGAAGGTCATAGATCCAGAATCTATCCACTTGTTGCAGTCTCTTTGAGGTATCAAGTTTGAACCTTGGCTTATATATGTTTAGATCTCCTTAATTCATGCTTTTGGTCCTTTTGGGGTTGATGATGGAGTAAAGTCGTTTTGAGGGCTTGTCATTTCAGATCTGAGCTCGTCTTGAACTCCTTGGGCATAAAGGTGCAAGCTTTATGGGAAGAATTGGTCCCATGCATGTATTTGTTGGATTAGGTGTCTAAGCCCATAACTATATTTGGTATGTACTTGACCCGATTGTCGCATGGTCCTTTTGGGTTGCCTTCACACTGGTGACTAGACAGGATGACTGTTGAGGAGAGAGGCTAATTTATTATTAAGAATAATAAATTGGGGCATAAATATGATTTATTAATATATTATATGAATAACATATTAATTTGGAATCATATTATTAATTAGTATTTAATCAGAAATTAATTTGGAATTAATTTTAGGATTAAAGGAACTGATTAAAAGTACATGGGATGTTTTGTAATTATTTGATAGTTGAGGCTTTGGGCCATTGGATCACCTTTATTAGGGTTAGGCCGAAAATCCTAGAAGGATCTAGGAGTTTTCGTCCAAGGGCCTAATGTAAGGAGGTCCATGGACTTGCTTAGGCCCTAAGCTAAGGAATCAGGGTTTCCACCCTGAAACCCTAGTTAGCCTCAAGTATAAATAGACCCCCTAGGCTCTAGATTTCGTCCAACCCTTGGAGAAACCCTAGAAGAGCCATTTTTTTGGAGCAAGCTACCCTTTCTCCTCTCTCTCATATTCATCCTCTCACTCAAGTGTGTTTGTGAGCCATTATAGGTACTACATTTGTGGTACTTGTTCTCAAGAGCAAAGGAACTTCAAGATTTAGTTGTTATTCCTATATAGCAACAAAGGTATGCAATCTAATCCTTTTGTTTGTGTATGTTGAAATTATTAGATGCATATTAAGGTTTTCTCTTGTGCTCATAAGTTGTATGTCTAATAGTGAAAACATAGATCCAAACTAGGATTGCATGCACACATAGGATTGATTGTATAAAACCCATCAGTATTAAGTCCCTTTTTAAGCTTAAGAGCTTCTTGTAGGCATGCATGAACGTAAAGTTGGCAACTTTATGTGGTTTTCCGGCTCAAGGAAGTCAGATGTAGGTTCTAGGGCCTTGTCTTCATGGTCTAAGTGCTTATTGGTTAAGCCTTTACTCTATCAAGTCTTATGGTTGGGTTTTGGACCCTTTTTGGTAGTC